GATAGATGGATAGATGGATAGATGGATAGATGGATAGATATGATAAGTGAAATGGTTTGCTAGAGGAAAGAGAAAAGTAATTAGATGAAGATGAAGAGAAAAAGTTTTATCAGCAAGCGTGCTTTTGATATTGGCTGTTATTTGTTGTTGCTTATGTGTGAAAAGTTAGAATGGAAATATTTTTGTTTATGCAAAAGAAAAATATAAGAATTGAAGAAAATTTGCTGAGGAATTTATTTTGGAAAAAAAAAAAAAACAAAGTGATTATATCATTCTCGGAAGATACCGAATGATTGCCAATAATTGTCTGTTTGTTTTGTTGCATTACAAATAATCTTTTCATTTCTCATCAAAAAAAAAAAAATTAAACGAGTATGTTGAAAGGAAGAAAATGATATAAAACTGAGAAATATCAATATCAGTTCATTAATTACTTCAATGAATAATATTTTTAGAATGAATATTCATCCTTCATGTTGAAATTTTTTTGAAATAATCGAACTGATAATTTATTTGCTGTATTATTTTTATGCAATTTAAAGAGCTCATTTTTTTTTTTTGTTTTGTTTCGAATATTTTAATTTTCATACAAATACACACAATATTTTTTATCAAAGGAATAAAAAAGTAATAAAAGTTTTATTGGAAGAGATGCATGATTGATACGAAGTTAATTTATTTAATGCTGCTAAATGAGAAATTTTATTTTTTCAAATTTAAACTCGCAATTCTTGAAATTTAGAGTATAATGTTAAAAAAAAACGACAATTTGAAATAAATTATATTATCAGTTAGTAAATATAGGGATTCGTTATTTTTATGAGTTTGTCTGATATCAGTTAATTTCGTTAAGTTTAAATTTTATTTCGTAATTTCACGAAAATATCTGGCAACAAAAATATTTGAAAACTTTTGAAATTTATCATTTGATTTCAAAATTCATTTTATCCTCAATTTATCAACAAATTTTTTAACAAAAATCACTAGTCATACATGAGACTTGAAATTTAGCATTTTCTCTTTTAAATCATCAAAAAAAGTTAGCAATCTTAAAAATTTTATACCATAAAGAGATGAAAATTATCAATGAGTACAAAATAAATCATTAAGACAATATTGCACAATAGTTCACAATATACTTTTTAAACAAAACAAAATCGTCCGCAATTTTAAATTTTAAGTGTTCTCGGATCAATTTCATATAATAATATTCGTTCTGCAAGTTCTTTATCCGGAAAATTATGAAGTAACTTCGAACTTCTGGAAAAATTATGAGGTAAAAGTAAAACTTCCTGCTTTTTCTTTCATGTATTTTTAGTTTTTTCATGTTTTGCATGTCATTTCGCTAAAATTTGTACTTTCTGAAAATTGAAAATTTCTTCTTCTCACAATCTGAACATCCATTTTATCCTTAAAATTTTACAAATTGCAACTCTATGCTCTACAAAAAATTTTAAATAATAATAAATTATAACTTTAAGTCTTTAATCTTATCTCCCTGAGAATTTAAAATCAATGAATTAAAAAAAAGTTTAAAACTTTTGTTGATAGTTCAAAGATGTTTCTTTCCTTCAAGAATAGAATAATTTTTTTTTTTTCATAAATTAAAACACGAATTTTTTTTGAATAGTTTAAATTTTAAAATTGCAGTAGATTGCTATGCAGTAGCAATTTTTATTAAAGCTGTTAATTGTTGGTAAGTTTAATGAATTTTATTTTTACAGTTCCGGAAAATTGATAAAAGCAGACGAAAGTGCAAAGTCTTCGACCAATCTCTTTTTTTTTTTGCAAAACATGTTTGCAAGCAGTTCAGGGATAACAACTGATAAGCTATCATAGCTGTTACATCTTCTTCTCTTTTCCAGCTTCTTTTTTGGCTATTTCAGTTTTTTCATTTAAAACTTTACTTAAAATTACGACGAATGCTATTCATTAAAAAATTACGAAAACAATGTTAACATCTCATTATTTTCTCGTTTTTATTTGACCAAAAAACATTAAAAATTTTAGAATTTTCTTTCTGGTATTTTGACTAATTCTCGATTAGGTAAATTATATATTCTATTCTTTTTTAATATTTTAATCAACGAGTTATGCATTTCATTTAAAAAAAAACACAGTAAAATATAACACAGTTATAAATATCATTGTTGAATATTATTATAATATGTTAACTTATGCGCAAATACTATTCAAATCTTACATTTCAATTGTTAATTTCAATTAAAAACATAATATGATATCAAATCATAGCTTTTTATTAACTTCTTGCCTTCAATGATTTTATCAGCAGCTTATCAGTTAATCATTTTGCAAAACAGAATTGATCTGAAGAACAGGGCTGAGGAAGATTAAATACATCGCATTATTTAAATTTTTACAACAAGCTTAATCATATAAATTAATGCCAATCTCCTTCTAATATCTTCATAAGAGGCTAAAATTTGTGATTTTTAAGATTTTAAATAGCCAGAAGATAAAACTTTCACTATCAATAACAATTTTAGAATGTAAATTTTAAAATTCTTGTCATTTGAAAAATGAAAAGAGAAGATAATCATTTGAATATATGGGCAGAAGCTTAACACTCTTCTCTTACACATAGCATTCATTGTTTGTCCATTTGTTGAAAACGATAACGATGGCTATTTTACAACGACAATTTTACAATGATTTGTTATATTACAGAGAGAGAGGGAGAGAGAAAGAGAGAGAAAAAGAGAGAGAGAAAGAGAGAGAGAAAGAGAGAGAGAAA